GATAGAATAATTGAAACAATAAATGTTAAATTTAATAGATAATCATGTCTCTTGATGACAGATCGTTCCTTTTTCAAATATTTAGAAAGACTGATCATATACTTGGCTAGAAAGAACATCTTTTTAAAATTTTTTGGAATTTTAGTACAGGGTCTACAGGGTCACAGGGTCTCACTACGCAGATTGGACTCACAGTGATCCACCTGTGTTCGGCCTCCCACGCGCTGGGATTACAGGCACGCGCCACCATTGCCAGTCTCAATCACTGTCTCAGTGTGCCCCAGGGGCGGGGCCAGCATGGCACTTGGGATCAAATCCCAGCTGCTGCACTCTGCCTACGCAGGTGCTTTAGTCTGCTGAACTATTTGGCCGGCCCCAGAAAGAGCATCTTAATAAATTCAAAGGGAAAGATTTTTATAGCTCTTGTTCTCTGATTATAACCCATTCACATAAGAAATAAAATGTAACAAAAAAGAAATTATACTATTTAGAAGTTTAAGAAAATGTTCTCTATAACATTTGTATCAAAGTAAAATACCAAAACTCAAGTGATAAGATATCAAGAAATCAATAAAATGAGCCTAACTTAACCCAAAATCTATGAGAAAGAGGGAGGGAAAGCTATAGCTAGTGGAAAATTTACAGTATTGGATGATTTTATTATTTACAAATAAAGGTTACTTTTATTATGAAATACAGATTTAAGGACAAAACAAGTTAAAATAAATTAGATTAATAAAAAGATGAAATTAATGAAATAAAATAAATACATTAGTAAGTGGCTATTGTGGAATTAATTTCATTAGGAAACTAATACAATAAAAAAATTCAGAAAACTACAGGTGAGAAAAGGAACATAATCAGATATAGAAGAATGATTCAAGCCCGGGGAGATACCATGGTAGCCTGAGCCCCTGCCTGGAAAGCACAAGGTCCCGAGTTCAATGCATGCATGCTATGCTGGCCCCAGAATCCTGGGCGAGCTGTGCTGGCCTCGAAACTGGGCATGGTGGCGCACACCTGTAATCCCAGCAGTGGGGAAACTGAGGCAGTAGGATCACTATGAGTCCGAGCTGCGCAGCAAGATGAGTATCAATAATAAAAAAATCAAAAAAGATGAAAAACTATATAATTTGTTCAGTTGTATGGCACAGAATTTGGAAAACTAGAAGAAGTGAATTTATTTCTCTGCCAAATAAATTCTCCAAATTTGGCCTCAGAAGAAATGGAAAATTTGAATAGGACAATAGTCATAAAAAGATGGGAAGGTGCTATGATCCACTCTTTTTTTTTGTTCATTTTAATGAGAAAAAGGAATAAAATAGCAATGAAACAGTTTCAAAACAGGTTAGTAGGACAGTTACAATAATTAATACATTGCATATTGTTGTCTTCGTAGTAGTTATTCAGAGCACAAAGATTTGAGAAGGATTCTTTTATTTTCTCTTTTTGGCTGGCTCAGGCTGCCTTAAGGGTGGGTCTGGCGCGGCGTGTGGTGCTGGGGGTCAACCGCAGTCTCTTACCCCTGACTGATTTTGCTCAAGAAGGTGCATTAGACAACAGAGCTAACCTGGCCAGCCCCCTTGATCCACTCCTGAGAGTGGCATTGCAGTCATGTGGAATTGCAGTCGAGTCTCAAGTAACCTTTAAAGAACAAATAATTTCATCATTATTTAAACTTCCAGAAGAAGGTGAAAAGTACTGAATTACTTTACAAAATAAGTACACATTTAATACCAAATTCAGTAGATGCAAAAAAAAAAAAAAACCTACAGACCAATTTGATTTTGAATACAGATTCAAAATTTTAAATAAATATTAGCAGAAAGAACTCATCACTGTTTTTTTTAAAATTTTTATTTATTTAATGTGTGTGCGTGCGTGCGTGCGTGCGTGTGTGTGTGTGTGTGTGTGTGGCCAGCTCAGCCCACCAGGGGGCGGGGCTGGCTGGCATGTGGTGCTGGGGATTGAACCGCGGTCCCTGTGCTTTGCTGAGCTTGTTCTAAGTAGGTGCTTTAGACCACTGAGCCATCTCACCAGTCCCACATCACTGTTTTTGAAGCCCCACCTGTGACAAGAAGGTTTATTCCAAGAATACAAGCGGGTTGAGGTTCTCTGAGGGGCCATAGAGTCACATGTGACAGGTCCAATGTTTTTAAGACTCTAGCAGCTGGTAGCCTGGCTTCTCAAGAGACGCCGTCTCCGTGCTGTGTTCTGCCACTCCAGGGAGAGACACTTGTGCTAGCCTCATTGCCAAGGATACTGCCAGGGCTCAAGGCCGCCAGCAGGGCTGCCCAGCGGTGCCCGTCAGCTTCTGGTTGATGCAGAGGGTTTGTTGGAGTTGACCTTGGAGCTCTAGTTGTTTGGGTATTTGAATATTTGTCTTTTCTTTGCATGTTACTAAGGAGCCCCCTATGAATTTTTATAAATATAAACACTAGGATTGCATCACACTGTATCTTACTGCATTCAAAGGTCTGATGGGATATTTGTGTGAAAATGAAAGCTGCTTCAAATAGCAGCTCAGTGTTGTCGAGCAAATAATTTAGATTTTCAGGATTAGCAGCCAGAAATGGTGGCTGGACCAACGTAGAGTTGTTCTTCTCCTCTTCCTCCTGTGGCTGGAAGCTAGGTGCAGAAGTCTGAACGTGGCCCGCTGACTGTCAGACGCTGACAGTGTGATATGTTCTCACATGTGAACCTTTGATGGGGTGTGCATTTGTGTAGTCTAGCTTTCTGTGCCTTCAGACAGAATTGTGCTTTGTTTTCCTCACTGACTGTTTGCCCTCTTTTTCTCTGATGTTGTTGTGGACAGAGGTGTTGGTCGTACTTTTGCTTTCCACGCAGCCCTGCCTACCTCAGCTCTTTCTATGACTGCGGGGCAACTGCTGCTGCTGACCCACTGTGGTGGCTTCAGGATGCCGGAATTTGGAAGGGCCTGAAGCCAGTGGGAAGAAGCCTCAAGGAGCACATAGTACTGTGTGGTTCTTTTGGATGAGCTTGTGGTCAGCTCCGGTGACCAGAGGGGCTGGCTATAAGAGCACTGTGACCAGCAGGGGCTGAACGGGAGCTGTCCAAGAAACAGATCGCCGGTGTGCTGCCTCGGGCTGCGGACTGGGGGTGATGACTGGGATAAATCGCTTGGTTCCTTGGCTGCCATTGTGGAACTCTTCATTCCATAGAGGAAAAAATCAAAACTAAACTCGACAGCCTTGTGGAATAGTCACATTTTGCAGTGATGTGGCTATGTAGAGCCTCAACACAATCAGGATTGGGAATGAGGAAAATATTTACTGGACATGTAAGGAAAGGGAAAAGAAGCCTTGATGTTTGTGTCCGTGTATCCTCTCTTACGTGTAAGCCTAGATACAATAGATATTAGCTCATGGTGGCAATTTTGATATATAGGAATTTATGTACAGTAAACTATTTTTAAAAATCCTACCTAGATGCTTTGGCTTAGCACCAGGTACTCTACTGATGGTCTTTTCTTTTGCCACAAGTATGCATCTTACCATTGGTATCCATTATACGTTCTAGTGGGATAGAAAATCGATTTAAAAATTAGCCCAAGTCTTAAATAAAAAGGAAGATAAAGTGTTTATACAAGTCAGTTATTCATGAGCTTAAAAACCATCCAGGCTTAGCTCCCTACTACCTCTTTTCTGTTACTGTGGTGTGATCCATACCAAATTTTAAATTCTAGCGTAGCTGCGCTCTGCTTTACAGAAATGTTGTGACAGCCTTCTGCTATTATTGCTTGGGGTGTGCTCAGAAATTCAAATACATTTTGATATTTTCCAAGCAAAGCATAATTTAAGACAGATTTACTACCCCAAACACCACATATATTAAAGCTAAATGAAAGTGATTTGGAAGATTCCCACGTTGCTGCTCCCTTCCACTAATGCTGAAAATTGACAGTTGGCTGTACACAGAGCAGCCACGCTCCAGCCGCTCGGCGCAAGTCGGCGGTGCTAATGTTGCTGTGATCGGTCACGGGACTGGACTTCACTGTGCTTTCTGTTTACCACAGAAAGGTAGTTTACATGAAATAAAATAGGTACGCAGGTGAGCACTGAGTATTTCTTGATAGCCGCACAGAAATCCTTTCTGTGTGGAGCAAAGGCTGTGCATGTGTTACCTGTGTTTTCTTCTCTTTCTCAGGAACTAGACTTCACCCGGTTATGGTGCTTCTGTTGAAGCAGTTTATCCTGAATCCTGCCTTATGTGACGGCATATGCACCACTATGGTTTTCAAGACTGGGAGTGGAACAAAAACTTTGAAATTGAATAGTCAAACATTAAAGACATTTATGTGACAGATTTCTTTACACTGGGAAAGTGAGAGCCGTCTGCTCCACTTAAAAACGTTCCCATCTCTCTGTGCTTCTAAAAACACATTATTGACCTTTATCTTCAAGGCCCTCTTCTTTTTTTTTTTTCTGTTTTCTGCTATCAAAAGTACCTGTAAAGTGCTATTGAAGGTGTTCAAAAGCAACTGTTGTTTAACACAACGCTTCTCTGAATTAGTTTATATCTGATATATGTCCCACTCTGTTTTCCAAGAGGGCAGAATTTCGGAGAGAAGACTTCTTCTATCTGAAAGATGATGTGGACGCATGCTGTGCAGCAGTCTTCACACCCATTAGGATGTTCAGTTTCTTCTCATTAGCTTTGTGGCCCAAAACAGCTAAGCATGGAGATAACACTTTTCTGTTCTGGGAAAAGAAAGGTGTGAAGAGATGAAAGGATTTAACCTGTTAAGTCTGTTGCTTCCAGTGTGTGCCATTCAGAAAATCCCATGAAGCCCTTTCACAACACCTTTTCAGTGAGTTGCTTGCTGTATTGGAATCTCTCTTTTTCTTTGCAGATCCTTCATGTGGATTTTTGAAGATGTACTTGGGACAGTGATAAGGAGAACCTGAAAATGCCTGGACAGTGCCTGGCTTTTCTCACCACTATTCCAGCTCCTCTCTCTGCTCTTCCCTGCCGGATCCAGATGATATGATGCTCAGAGGGACACCTTCATCACAGTTGTTCCTCAGCTAGAGACACCTGCACAATTGTTCCTGTTGCTCCAGATGGCCAGCCAGCTGCCCGAGGACCCTGCCGAGGCTCAGGTCTCCGACGAGCTCGAGTGCAAGATTTGTTACAACCGGTACAACCTGAAGCAGAGGAAACCCAAAGTGCTAGAGTGTTGTCACAGGGTCTGTGCCAAATGCCTCTACAAGATCATAGACTTCGGGGACTCCCCGCAGGGTGTCATTGTCTGCCCTTTCTGCAGGTTTGAGACATGCCTGCCAGACGATGAAGTTAGTAGCTTGCCCGATGACAACAACATCCTGGTAAACTTGACTTGTGGAGGCAAAGTGAAGAAGTGCCTGCCGGAGAACCCCACAGAGTTGCTGCTGACCCCCAAGAGGCTGGCGTCCCTCGTGAGCCCTTCCCACACATCTTCCAACTGCCTGGTCATAACCATCATGGAGGTGCAGCGAGAGAATTCCACGTCTCTGAGCTCCACTCCTGTGGTGGAGTTTTATAGGCCTGCAAGTTTCGACTCCGTCACCACCGTGCCCCACAGCTGGACTGTGTGGAACTGCACGTCCCTGCTGTTTCAGACCTCCATCCGGGTGTTGGTGTGGCTGCTGGGCTTGCTGTACTTCAGCTCCCTGCCCTTGGGGATCTACTTACTAGTGTCTAAGAAGGTCACCCTCGGGGTTGTCTTTGTCAGCCTCGTCCCTTCGAGCCTTGTCATCCTCATGGTGTATGGTTTTTGCCAGTGTGTTTGTCATGAATTTCTGGACTGTATGGCACTTCCTTCTTAATCAGTTTGCAAATAGGGAATTTGACACATATTGCTGTGTTTGAAGTTAGGTAATTTATAAATTATATGATTTACTTTCTTTATGATTACCATTCCTGGCATCAAGAAAGGCCTTGGCTGTATGTTGTTGGTCCAGGCATTGGCTTGCTGGGTAAAATGTTTTATACTTAGGAGGTGCCGAAGCAGAGCTGTGTGAGCTTGGCCACAGGGGGGCTCTGTCAGCTGTGAGACTTCCTTGAGCGGGGGCAGGACTGCCTGCTGCCCTCCAGCCAGCCCCAGAGTGTGGAGTGTTGTGCTGGAGTAGAGGTCTGGGTGGCGATTCGGGTCAAGCTGACTCCTCCCTTCACAGTCAGAGAGAGGAGAGCTACTGCACACCCTGCGTTTGCAGTCTGTGTCCTCGTACTCCAGTGTTGGAGCCCAGTCCTCTTCAGGTGCTGTCTCTCTTATGCTAATGTCATCCTGAGGCCTGCTGCTGCATGGAGACACCTGCCCTCAGTGTGTTCTTCCCTGTCAAGGGGACACCAGGCCTGTTCCCTGGAATACTTGTTTCACCACTTTACTAAAGAGAACAGGAAACTTTGAGGAGTTTGCATCAAAGTAGGCTGCATGGCAGAATAAGACCGTCTGTCTTCTTCCCGTGTTTATTTCCCTTTCTCCTCAGGCTTCTCTGAGAAGAACTGAAGAGAATGGATTTCTTGTAGAACAAAATTATTGTTCGTGGGAACTTCCATTTGTTTTCCTGAAAACATCTTAATTTTACTTTGTTTTTAACTAACTTAATCAGCCACACCCCTTATTCCAACCAAGGTTCTGTTTAGCTGCTGTATATTTCTAGTTTAAAATATTTTATTAGGATTTATTTAACTTAATCCTATAACAATTGGGGATGAATTGTGGCACTGGAAACCCAAAAACAATTAGTGAGATGCTGTAGCTGATGGTTTGAAGTTCTGAGAACCTGAGCTTTTCGTTGTATTTTGTTGAGTTCTGTGCAAAACTGCAGGGTGTAGAAAGAAATCCAGGCACAGCGATGGCCAGGGTCGTGTGAAACTGATGCTTTGACTGAGGGGCTATTCAGCGTGCAAAGTGGAGGTGGCAGAGTGCAACTCATGCCTAGCGTTGTCCTTGCTGCAGTTAAGTCCGTTTGGGAATAGACTGAAGCTCTTAAATCTATCTCAAATAAAAGCCTAAGCTTAGTGACTTGAGCTAGTGGACTTCTTTTTGGGATATAGGGGCAGTTGAATGTATATATTTATGAGAAGAAACTCTAGCAGATGGTAGGTTTGGAATAATAGAATGTTCACAAAACTAGAGGAGAAAAGCTTTTTGCTGTCTAAAACCCTTTACTAATGATCAACATTAAAATATTTGTTACTTAGAAAAGGGCCTCACTAAGGGTACTTGTTTGTAATAAAGTATTTGTTGCGTGAAATAGTTATAGGGGGCCAGTTCCTATCTCCTTATGGAGGAAAAATTGATGCTTATTTTGAATAGAAGTTTGATTTTATTTGTATAACTGTTGACTTAGAGAAAATGTATGCCACATAAGTATGAGGAGAAAGTTTATGTGGGAGATGGTCCAATGAATTGAAGCCCCAAGATGTAGCTAACCATGTTTATGAATCTGTAAAATCTAGTTTTGGTAGCATTGTGAGTGCAATTTCTAGAAATCCATTGGTATTTTGAGTAAATACAATGTTTTGTGGTTCGGTTTTATATATAAGATTTTTTTAATGCCTTATTTTGTCTGAAATGTAACATTGAGTAAATTGGTGGGTTATATGATGGAATTTTCAGGAAGCTCTGGATTTGGGTACCATATCTTTGACTTATTTGTATAAAGTCTGTAGTGCTGACTGTATCTGTGTATCACAGTGATCTTTTTCTTTAGTTTCCAGTAAGTTGGCTGAACTTAAAGAATTTTAAGTGTATGACAACAACAACACTAACAAAAATCTCTCTTTATGCTATTGAATGGAAAAAAGGGCAGTGTTTTCTTTCATTCACTGTGATGATGTTCTGTTTGTCTATTAAATTTGACAAGAAGTTTGACTTCTCTGACTTGTGGCTGAGAGTGGATTATTACTCTGGACCCCAGGTTAACTTCGGTCAATAACCGTAAACATGGACTTTGGGAACCATTGCTTGAGCATGTAATGCCTTTATCACAAATACAAAGATTTCAGAATCTTGTGTTAAGGCTGCCCTGCCCCACAGCACTTCCAGAGGCCTTCATCTTTTGTTAAAAATGGGGGACAGACATTAAAAAGGGGACATGAAACTATTGTCTTTATAAATACTTTTTTCATTTTTAATTTATTTGATTTGATATCCAGATTTTGTCTACCTGTTCAACATAATAATTTGGAGAATACCTTCCTTTTTGTAGTCTGGGAAATGAAAAATATTTACCTGGTCTTCTGTTAGGCAGAGTAGAAATACTTTGAGAACATGTAGTGGTTCTGTGCTTCTGACAGTGAATGGATTGACACCATGTGATAATCGAGAAAACCATTTCTCTCACCTCTAAAATCTACCCAAGAAGGACAAAGCAGGATGAAGACGGCAGGAGTCTGTGTCCCCAAACTTCATGTGCGCCCGGGCTTCACCACAGCGAGGCCAGACATGATGAGAACTTGCTGCACTGTGAGCAGACACGGGCCTTTGGAGGCACCTGGGGAGATTTCTTGGCGTCTTACATAGGTAGACGGAAGCCATGGAGGTGCTGGTGTTCCCAGGCACACGAGGAGCACCCATGGGCACAGCTGAGGGAACCCAGGCAGCCTGGAGAGGGAAGTGGGGGCACCCGTCCAGCTCTATGTGGGTCAGCAGTTCTGGAGCTTCGCACCTTTTGCACATGTTTCTTAGGAAATGAATGCCTTGAGTCTTTTGAAGCACTGTAGAAATACCACACATTATTCCAGAGCTTTCCTTGACACCAGTGACAGTCTTGGTCACAGCTGGGTTCCCTGAAAAACTTCAACCATTTGCTCTTGCAGCATGAGTTGTGTGTGCTTTCTGCACCTTTCCCCTTGGTTAGATGTCTACTGCCCTTCAAGGCCCTGTGTCAATTTTCATTCCAGTAGGGGTACTATTGGATCTTTCCGTACAAGCTTTCTTTAGTGTAAAAGATTTGTTTACAGATGTGGTTAACTGAATGTTGAAATTTAAATAAATTCCCTGTGAGTCCTGGAGGTGACATTGATTCAGCCCATTTTCTTGTGTCATTTAAATCTACAGCATAATCTGAATCTAACTATATTCAGTGTACATGTATTTATGGTTCTGATTTAAAGGTGCTTTAAGTTTAGGGAAAAAAATCAGAAATTAAATCATGTCCTAAATACTGTGTATACTAAGTTAGGGTATGTGCTATTTTTAAAAGTGGCTGAAGCTTGGTTTAATTAAACATTTAATTAATTGAAACAATTACTCTGCATGCATTTTAATTAATCAGGAGTTTATTAGATTTGAAAACTATTAACCTTTTAAATTGGATTTGTTAGAATTTCATGAGACAGAAATGTGCTTGGCACAGGTTGTGTTACATCTTGGCTCTCCCATGAAGTGTAAAGAAAGTAGGTTTCCTTGTATATTCTTGTGTGTCTACCTGAATCTGCCTGCCTGTGATAGCAACTGGGGGGTGAAGAAGGAGAGAAATGTTGAGATGGAGGTGGACGAGAGGCCAAGGCTGAGCTCCCAGGGCCGGAAGTTGGAGAGCTCAGTAGAGGAGGAAGGAGCTGGACCACATGTGGGCATGGGCCGAGGTCGGGAGGTAGAATTCGGGTAACTGGATGAACACAGATGGAAACAGATTTCAGACTGGTTCATGAAGAAGGATTCTTAAAGCTTGTTTCATGGAGCTTTTTAAATGCATGGATTAGTCTGGAGGAGTGCAGTTATTGCCCATTGACTTATCACTTAAGCGTCAACAGCTAACCTTTTGTATATTCTTTTTTCTCCTAAATAAATGTTTTTGTTTTTGTTTTTGTTTTTTTTTCCCTGAAGCGGGGTTGAACTCAGGCCCTTGTGCTTGCCAGGGAAGCACTTATTCCACTGAGCCATCTCCCTGGTCCCTGCTGTGTAATCTAAACTTAGCATTTTCCTCCCTAATTCTTGCCCAATTTAGTGGTGCCAATCAAGAGTTATCTCTTTCTGAATAGACATATTTGGGATTAATCTCAGATAAATCTGAGAGCTGGCTTAATGTTAAATTCCTTCTCATAGTTTAAAATACGTGAAGCGTTTTATTGCTCCACTTCTCTAGTCAAGAAAACTCATCTCCTAACAGAATTTTAAATGAATTTTAATTATTTTAGCAACTCTTTAGCTGGAAAATGTTATTTTTAATGCTAAATAACATCATTAGTCAATAAATGAACATCTGGTTTTGGTGTGTGTCGAGCCAAAACCTCCCGCGCTCTCCTTTTACCCCCACATTCCCTGATTTCTGCAATGCCATTTGTGGAAGGATCGAGGGCGCCCACTGCTGCCATCACCCACATCTCCCCGACCACATTGCACTTACACAAGTACACACACACATACACGTACAAATGTGCATTTTCACATTTTAGGAAACAGATCCATGAAGGAGAACTGTGTTGATCTTCCACCACTTGGTACTTATCCATTGAAATACTTTTTAAATCTATGTTTGCGACCACAAAGGACTACCTTTATGACTTCACATATATTGATGGCTTTGGCTTCTTATCTCAGAGGTACTTATTTTCTCTCTTATGGTAGTCAGCTCTTGAGCACTAAGAGTTTCCCAACTAAACGATGGACTGGTTGTTGACGCTGCTTCTGTTTGGTGTGATTTTTTTTTTCCACTCAGTATTCCAACTAGAACTCTATATTTTCATGGCTAAATTCATTGTCATTACAAATTTTATTTTTGGTCAGACTGTTTAAAATTATAACATTATTTCCAGCCTGTAATTTCACCTACTCTAATCATCAGCAAAAATAGGAGCAAATAACATAGCCTAGTTTTTG